CACATCAGGCGACTCGAAACGAGCTAATCCGCAAGTAGTGGCCCGATGCGATCGGGTCACACCAGGGTCACATCAGGTTCCTGTTTACAAGGCGCTGACGAATTTCTATCGATTGAAATGGTTGAAACTTTGCCAAGCCTAGACAGGGGCGGAAAGGGGGTACCAGCAAAGCGCGCGCTACCACAGACATCTGGCAGCAACACCCTCCAACGAGGGCACTTCTTCCTATACTGGAAGTAAGAACTCCCAATAGCGCTATCTTGGCGTAATCTTTCCAAATTCACAAGTGTTCCATTGCGAACTGCACTGGCAAGCCTGGTAATGACTCTGTTGCTTCCTGTACTGGTCTCGCATGTACGTGGAAAATCCCTTGTGAACTGCTTGCAGGACCCACCGCAGAATAAGAAACTCGTTGCTTCAGCAGGCCTGCGCGCCTAACCTCTCCCCACTTTTTGCAACGCAAAGGCTGCGGTGCGTTGGTGCTTCTTGCGTTCAGCTAATCTTTTGCATGTGGTACGGACTAAGACTACACAGACCTGACGTTAACCCCTTATGGGTTGCCAGTACCGCATTAAACACCTTTCCATGAGAGCCCCAGCATACAACCTAAAAGTAGGTCCCTTTCCAACCAACAGAGTTAACAGAGTTGGCTGGGAAAAAGAGACGGCTTTCCGCAAATAATTCCGCCTAAGGCAAGGTAGCAATACCTCAAAAAAAGTGACGACATTGTCTTTTTCCTGTAGTGTCATGACGCAACGCAGAGCCTTTTTGGCCTTCACTACGCACTGTTGTCTGACATTTTGCAAAACATGGGGCATGTTGCAGCGTGGGAAAAGCGCAAACAATCTTTTTGCGACGCGTGATTGGCGAAGCGATACGGTTGATGTGTTTTGGAATGGATGTTTTGGAGCGCGCTAAAGCAAATCAGCAACGCTGACTCTCTGCATTGCCAAGCGGAACACCAGTTCTGGAGGTCTGTCAGAGATTTCTCGATTATTTCTTCCGCTGGAACTATTCTGAGCTTTGTCTCGTGAGCAAAATGCCGCTCAAGGTGGCCAAGGAGCTATCATTGTCATTTTTGCCGATGTGACGCTCAGGCTCACATCGCCAGCAGCCAATACACATCAAGATTTACACACTGCACTGAGCACACCCGCCATCCAAGCACCATTAACTTCTATGCTTGCGCCGGTTTCCTCTCGGCGTCCGTGACCTGGCTCAAGTTTTTCAGCCCACACAACACTCAGTCTCCTGCGAACAGAGAGTGGTGTTGAGAAGGTTTAAAGGCAAAGCTTGAAGAGAAGCTGACCTTCGGCTGCGTTTCCTGCTGAGACTTGGCAACACCCACACGGTTGGCAGGCTTGTCGCATCTTTGTGGCTATCACAGCTTTTGGCTCTACGGAGTCGATAGATCTCTTGTTGAACACTGAACACTGTGTTCCTTTGGCGAAAAGGAATGCACGTTCTCCAGCGCAAGTTTTCCCAGCACATTGGAACAACCTTGCCGCCTTCAAGTCAGGAAGCTTTCAGCTCTTTCAAAGGAGCAATCGCGAAATCCACACCCGCGCACGGGGTGCGTTCACTGGCGCGAAAGCCGCAAGCTCTTCCCCAGCTTCATCGAACGACAAATCCAACAACAATGTTTTGAAATTGTTAAAACAATGACAATATTGCGAAACCGATGATAATTGCCCCAACCCTACAACCGCTCTCCAACTCCCGTCCCCCAACGCAATTTAACCACTTTGACGACAACGTTGAGGAGATGACAACGCCGTGAAATCGATGACAAGGCTGTGAATCTGGTGATATAGGGATTCACACTAAGATGGCACATAGAAACGGGACGCAAACATGGCACATGAGACAAAAAAACAAGATGGAGCCCACGAACCCGAACGCAACCACGTTCGAAAAGCTACCTATGTCCAAATGACACTCTTGTAGGACACTCTTGCGGGACACTCTTGTGGGTCACTCTTGTAGGAAACTCTTGTGGGACACTCTTGCGGGACACTCTTGTGGGACACTCTTGTGGGACACTCTTGGGGACACTCTAGTAGGAAACTCTTGTGGGACACTCTTGTAGGACACTCTTGTGGGACACTCATACGGGACACTCTTGTGGGACACTCTTGTGGGACACTCTTGTGGGACACTCTTGTAGGAAGCTCTTGTGGGACACTCTTGTAGGACACTCTTGTGGGACTCTGTTGCGGGACACTCTTGTGGGACACTCTTACGGGACACTCTTGTTGCACACTCTTGTAGGACACTCTTGTGGGTCACTCTTATGGGACACTCTTGTCGGACACTCTTGTGGGACACACTTGTGGGACACTCTTGTGCGACCTTGTGGGAGACTCATACGGGACACTCTTGTGGGACACTCTTGTGGGACACTCTTGTAGGAGACTCTTGTGGGACACTCTTGTAGGAAACTCTTGTGGGACACTCTTGTGGGACAATACTGTAGGACACTCTTGTGGGATACTCTTGTGGGACACTCTTGTGGGACACTCTTGTAGGAAACTCTTGTGGGACACTCTTGTAGGACACTCTTGTGGGACACTGTTGCGGGACACTCTTGTGGGACACTCTTAAGGGACACTCTTGTGAGACACTCTTGCGGGACACTGTTGCGGGACACTCTTGTGGGACACTCCTGTGGGACACTCCTTTGGGATACTTTTGCGGGACACTCTTGCGGGACACTCTTGTGGGACACTCTTAAGGGACACTCTTGTGAGACACTCTTGCGGGACACTGTTGCGGAACACTCTTGTGGGACACTCCTGTGGGACACTCATTTGGGACACTCTTGTGGGACACTCTTGTAGGACACTCTTGTGGGACACTCTTGTGGGACACTCTTATAGGACACTCTTGTAGGAAACTCTCGTGGGATACTCTTGTAGGACACTCTTGTGGGACACTCTTGTAGGACACTCTTGTGGGACACTCTTGAGGGCACTCTTGTGGGGCACTCTTGTGGGACACTCTTATAGGACACTCTTGTGGGACACTCTTAACTCTTGCGAGACACTCTTGTGGGACACGGTTGCGGGGCACTCTTGTGGGACACTCTTGTGAAACACTCTTGCGGGACACTCTTGTACGACACTCTTGTGGGACACTCTTGTCAAAGGAAGTTTAGTGTGCAAAACTTCCGTGTTACGGACATTCAACAGCTGTTCAACCACCACTCATCATACACCACTCATCATACACCACTCAACATACACCACTCATCATACACCACTCATCATACACCACTCATCATAC